TTCTTGCAGTACGTTACTGTTTTTTAGTCAAAAAGTTTTTCAGAAAAATATGGTCCAGATGATCATCGGAAAGAGTTCGTTTAAAATTGACCTCAGGAACAATTTTCACTTAATAGGCGGCTGCAATTTCATTAGTAAAATCATGAGTAATTCCGGCCTAATTTTTTGATTGTCACTCTTAGCAATCAAAATCTAGGTTTAATTATTGATTGTTGTAATGATCATACCCTGATATGGAAATCATGAGGACTCATCGAGTCCCTATTATATAAGGGAGTAGTTTTGTTTTGATTATTCACTCTTTTTCGTTTATTAAATATGGATTATGCAAAAAACTTTCCGCTTTCCAGTGAATTTTTTTCGTTTTTGACTTTATTAAAGAACTCTTGTAATGGAGACTTGTTAGAAATAACTTTTAAAGATATGGGTATTATAATAACAAGAGACATTCATAAATGTTTTAAAGGTCACAAAAAACGAAAAAGACTACAAAATCACACTATTAAAGAAATGTACGTTGATATTAGTGGTGAATCTGTATATAATGAAATGCAAGCAAAAATTCGGGTAAATATCATTTTAATAAGGTCTGGATTTAACTTAAAAAAAATAATAGTTATTCAATTTCAATAATTATTTTTAAAAAAGGAACAGGATGGAACTATTAAAATGTTAAGAGATGAAATTGAAAAGGTTAAACATAATAAAATAATGGTAACTAGTTTGAGATATTTTAAAAATGTATAGAAAGCAATTATTTTCTTATGTTCTTAAATGATTCTAGGAAGTTTTTGTTGAACGTTCTGTACAAAGCTTTTCAAGCTTAAAATTATTCAATAATGATTATTCTGTACTAGTAGTCGACAATAATGAATCATGGAATGACTCGATGATTTAGATAAAAATTTTAATTCAACAAACTCATCCGAACAAACTATCTCTTCAAGTGAACTAAATACATTGTTAGGGAAATTGGTATCGAAGTAGACACTAATAATGAAGAAGAAATGTGGAGAAAAATTAATTCAAAACTTGAAGCAAAGTTTGGATATGACAAATATCTAAATACTCAAATTGATAAAGATGAAAAATTTAAATATTTGAAATTGATTCATATACTTCAGTATTGGAAATACGCTAAAAAATTTCCAATTAGTTGCTGGGTAGATAAGGCTGCGAACACGTAATTAAAGGTGATTTTATTATTTTACTTTTAATTTTATTCATTTTATATTAATTACATAATTCAATTTCAATTTCAATTTACAGGATGGAAGCCCAATTGGGAATTAATTGCAAATGCATTACTTAATAGCGAACTAATAAACCAAGAACTTCAATCTACAAATATTACTGATTTCAAAGAAAATTCAATTTCTTTCAGTAATGACTTAAAATCAATTGAACAAGAATTTGCTTTATACAAAGACAGAGAAAATAAAATTAAACATTTTCATTTAGAAATCAAGTTAGCTGCAATATATAATTTTATTAATCTCGCAAAAGGATATATTGCATTATTAAATTTCATTAAAAGGAGCACCCCAGATAACAAAAAAAGCGCAAGTTTAGAAGTTAAAATTTCTGAAGCAGTTCCTTTAGACAAAAATGCAAAATTCAAATCAATTAGACAATGGATAAGAGCTAGAGTTATGAATATGCTTGGAATTAAGGCGACAAGATATGAGACCAAAATATGGACTAGATTAATTAGGATCATCTTTATTTTAAAGAACAAAATTGCAACTATTGAAGCTCTTGCTCAAGCCAATGCCTCTCCATGGTTTTTCAAAACGATATCTAACCCAGAATTCAACAAATTTTTAGAAAAGATAACGAACGGAAAGTATATTTTTGTTATTAATGAAGAATTTGATAATTCTTTAAAATTTATTGAAGGTATTAAAATTTTTTTTGCTACATCGTAATTTATTGTATTAAACATACTAACAATTTTTAATTATATGCAATGAAACCACCTGTTGACATTGAAATCGACAATGTGCGTGATATAGAAGAAATTTAAAATAGCGCATAGTATTATTACCTCAATTAAATAAATGACATACTTTCAATACAAGAAAATAAAGTTTAATGAATTTTATTCGATAATGCTAAATAAAATATATAGCACTTATTAGGCCATACAAAGTGTTTTTTTTTTGTCTTATAACATTAAATTTTTATTTTGATGCACCGATCCAGATTTTTATTTTTTTTTAACTATAAATTTCAATTTTCACAATAAACTAGTAACATTAGCCAGATTTTTATCGAATCCCAAATCAAAACCTTTACATCAATAAACCAGACAACATAGAACTGAAATGAATAGCTTATTTAATATACTTAGATTAACAATAAAATTTGCGTAATATTTATAGTAGTTTAATTCGTGTACATTTTGTTGCTTGATTGTTTAGTTATTAATGAATATTAAGAGAAAATTGAGTAATGACTTTATGTAATATAAAATCATCATAACTGCATAACCCCCCTAGCGCACCCACAAAAATTTTCACCTTCTGTGATTTTTGGCCAATCAAATTTCAAGTTCAGGTGTAATGTAACAAATGAAGGAAACCATTTTTTGCAAATAAACTGAAATAACTCGAAGTTTTAATTAAGAAACTACCTTCTGCGGCCTAATTAAAAATGTTCCTTATGAAATTTTACTAATAGCAATAACTCTAAATCTAACCCTACACTGTTCTCGCTCTAATGCTCTAACCCTAATGATAGCATGGGTTTATAAATTATGGGGTAGGAAAATTTTTGTGGGTGCGCTACCTAAAATATAACAGCATGGTTTATTTGAAAAAAACCATGTGATTTAATTAATAGAGGTAAGATTTTCCTCAACAAATAAAAAAATTTTAGCGTGAGGTCCCGACAAGTTCACACGCTAATCACTTAGCATGAGGACCTTACAGGATCTCACAGTAATCACTTAGCGAGAGGACCATATGAGACCTCACAGTAATCACTTAGCGAAAGGACCGTATGGGACCTCACAGTAATCACTTGACATGAGGCCCATCAGATCCTCACACTCATAGGAAGACACTCTTATAATTGGTTAATTTTTATAGATCTATCAGTGATTTCTCGTGATAATTAACCAATCAAAAATAATAATACTCAGTATTAAAAACCGAAAGAAATTTCGTATAAAGATTACAAACTAATAAATATATGTGAAAGAATTTATTATTTTATATAGAGAATAGATAGATATGCGTAAAATGGATAAATATGATATTTATTACTAGTAAACCCAAACTATTAAAAAACCTACTATATAAGTTATAAATTAAAACTTAACTATTAATTTATAGTTGACAAACTACAAGAACCGACAAAATTTAAATATTACTCACAGATCTTCTTTGCTAAAGAGCTTGTACCTATCCAAATTAAATAGTTAGAAATAAAAGTTTATTTAAATCTAACGTAATAAAAATAATTTTAGATGAAAATGTTTCTGGTTACCTTTACTCTATTGTATAATTTGATATTGTCCAATAAACAGTAGCATACTTTGCCTTCTAAGTTATTTTGTACAGTGTTCCCAAAAAATACTTTAAAGTGTATAAATAAGTTACCCGGACAATTAATTTATATCAGCCAATCAGACAAATGTTCTCCTATGATCCTCACAGTAATCTTTTAGTATCAGGTCCCGTCAGGCCCTCACAGCAATCACTTAACATGAGAACCTGTCAGGTCTTCACAGTAATCACTTAGCGTGGAGACAAGACAGGTTCTCACAGTAATCACTTAGTGTGGAGACCACAGGTCCTCGCAATAATCACTTAGCATGGAGACTGGACAGGTCCTCGCAGTAATCACTTAGTGTGGAGACCACAGGTCCTCGCAATAATTACTTAGCATGGAGACCAGACAGGTCCTTGCAGTAATCACTTAGCGTAGAGACCAGACAGGTCCTCGCAGTAATCACTTAGCATGGAGACCACAGGTCCTCGCAATAATCACTTAGCATGGAGACCAGACAGGTCCTAGCAGTAATCACTTAGCGTGGAGACCACAGGTCCTCGCAATAATCACTTAGCATGGAGACCAGACAGGTTCTCACAGTAATTACTTAGTGTGGAGACCAGACAGGTTCTCGCAGTAATCACTTAGCGTGGAGACCACAGGTTCTCGCAATAATCACTTAGCATGGAGACCGGACAGGTTCTCGCAGTAATCACTTAGCATGGAGACCACAGGTCCTTACAATAATCACTTAGTATGGAGACCAGACAGGTCCTCGCAGTAATCACTTAGCGTAGAGACCAAACAGGTCCTCACAGTAATCACTTAGTGTGGAGATCACAGATCCTTGCAATAATCACTTAGTATAGAGACTGGACAGGTCCTTGCAGTAATCATTTAGCGTGGAGACCAGACAGGTCCTTGCAGTAATCACTTAGCATGGAGACCACAGGTTCTCACAATAATCACTTAGCATGGAGACCGGACAGGTTCTCGCAGTAATCACTTAGCATGGAAACCACAGGTCCTCGCAATAATCACTTAGCATGGAGACCAGACAGGTTCTCGCAGTAATCACTTAGTGTGGAGACCAGACAGGTCCTCGCAGTAATCACTTAGTATGGAAACCTGACAGGTCCTCACAGTAATTACTTAGCTTGGAGACCCGACAGGTCCTCACAGTAATCACTTAATGTGGAGACCAGACAGGTCCTTGCAGTAATCACTTAGCGTGAGGACTGACAGGTCCTGCAGTAATCACTTAGCTTGGGAATGACAGGTCATCACAGTAATCACTTAGCGTAGAATGAGACAGGTCCTCACGGTAATCACTTAGCGTAGTGAAATGACGGGTCCTCACAGTAATCACTTAGCTAGGACCTGATAGATCCTTGCACTAATCACTTAGCATGGAGAACTGACAAGTCCTTGCAGTAATCACTTAGCGTAGTGGCATGACAGGTCTTCACAGTAATCACTTGGCGTGGGACAGACAGGTCCTCACGGTAATCACTTGGCGCGGGACCTGAAAGGTCCTCAAAGTAATCACTTAGCGTGGAAATCAGACAGGTCCTCTCAGTGATCACTTGGCATGGAGACCAAACTGGTCCTTACAATAATCACCTAGCATGGAGACCAGACAGGTCCTCACAGTAATCACTTGGAGTGGAGACCAAACCGGTCCTCACGGTAATAGCCTGGCACGAGGACCCGACAGGCCTCACAGTAATCATTTGGCGTTGGGGTTAGAGATGGCAAATGTTTTAAAACACGATCTTAAAAAACTCGATTGTTTGATTTTTAATTGTTTAAAATGTTTTAAAATGTTTTTTAATCAAAATTTACCGGTCAAAGTGCAATAATTTATTTTTAAACTCCGACCAAGTGTCGCGAAAATTTGACTTCCGAATTTGTGTTACCTCAAATTTTCGGGGCTTGATCGGAGTTTTAAACTCCGACTAAGTGTCACTTTAAATTTTAATATCAGCTTCGATGTTTTAAAACTTTTATTAAAACAATTAAAAACATATAAAAAACGTTTTAAAATGTTTTTTTACTATCCCTAGTTGGGGTATTCAATGTACTATGTAGATCAAATTTATATACAGTCCTATATGAAAATCGAGTATAACAATCACAAAGATCCATAGTAAAATGTTATAATTTCGAACAAAAATTATTAACATTGCAAAAATATTTTAAGTTAATAAAAAAAAAAACTCACTATTTTTCTAAAATATAAACTTCGTTGAGTAATTGAGTACAATTTTTTAATAATAATAAGTAAGTTATTGAGAATATATATACAATTTGAAATTTACCAATTTTTATAATCGTTTTATATAAAACAATTTGAAGAACTGTATCTTCTCCATAAATTGCATAATAATTTATTAAAAAATTTTACTTCGGAGTATATATTTTAGCGTTTTTTTAAAAAATTTTTTTATTGAAAATTTTATTTAATTTATTAAAAATAGAATATACATTTTACTAATGTTAATCATTTATTTTTTTAGTATTTTAATATAGATCATCACTATTATTGCATTAAAAAAATTATATTCAATTTTTCTATAAACTATATATGATTTGATCTACATAGTGCACTGGATTACAGGTAAGAATGTTGATTGGGGTATCTATCATCGGTCTAATTACAAACATAGTGCAGATTATATAGTTTTGATCACTAATTAAGATTTTATATAGTAAAATTTTATAGTCTCACGCTATATTAAATTACTATAAAAATTGACTTTACTTCGCTTTTAATTCCTCCAGTAATATTTAATATTTTTTAATTTTATAAAGACAAAACACTTAATGAAGGGTGTCTTTATAATGTGACAACGCTAGAATTTTATTTAAATAATTATAAATGTCTTCAACCTGCGGTTGAAGTCAGATACAAAAAAATCATGTGACAGATTTTAGTTATACAAAAAAGATAATGATAAACTTTATCTAAAAAGAAAAAAAGATCTATTTTCTATTAAACTATTTCTACTTCGAACCAATTTTTTAAGCAGAACAAAGCCTTAGCCTCTTTTTCAGAAGTTCTATTCCTGATATGATGAATAGTATATTTTGGGTAGAAGAAACATGCTTGCAAGAAATACAAGTTGTTTGCAAAGTCAAATAGTCTGCTACAATGCTAGCTAAGGTCGGAAAACAGGAGGCATGTCTCTTCCACCACAACAACGGATCTGTTTTTGGCTCATGGCATAATGAAAGATAGACTTCCAATTCGTCTATTTCTCTCATTTTATTTATTCGTACAAGCTTATGAAATATTTTTAACCGATTTTTAACCTTAATGTTTTCTACCTTAATGTTTTCTTCAGAGTTATCCGTTATATATAATGAATAGGTTATTTAATTTATTAATTGCTAATTGATGATCGGTTATATGAAATGTTTCAAATTTGGTTGATAGATCCACCAGAGTTGGGATCTTAGAAAATTTCAAAAGATAAACCCAATACTCCTCCAGTTTGACTTTTATCTCTCGGGCTGCTTTATAGTGTATACCACCAACAAAAAGATAATTATTAAGATGTGCTGAGAGGCCTAGGATTATTAATCATAAAGAACCATGAGAGAGTTGTGAAGTGTCTGAAAGGATCAAAGTCACCTCATAAAATGGCTCAAAAAGCTGCACCATCTTTTTGATAATTATCAGGTTGTTATTTTCTAAAAAATATTTTTTTATATTTGGATACGGTTGTATAATTATATTAATAAATTCTTGGATTTGAATAAATCATTCAAGTATCAAATAAGTGGAATTCCACTTTATATTGTCGTTATCAATTTTAATGTGGAGAAATAGAAGATCTATACCAATAGAGCATTTTTTTATTTTTTCTAAGAACAATGATGATGTTTTACTTTGGTAATAAATTGACGAACTTTTTGAATTTGACAAAAATATTTCTTTTGACTTGCTTTAGCCATGAGATTGATCGCATGCATAGTACAACTTACATATTCAAGATTAGAGCTTATAGCTTCTTTAAGGCAATCTATACACGTCTGATTGTTTATAGTATTATCACTAGTAACACCAATTATTTGTTCTTTTATTTTCATATCTTTAATAAGTCTAAAAATTTTTCTCTTGAGATGTGCTCTGGTATAGACATTATTCAAAGCAACGAAGTTGAGAAGAAGGTTTTTTGATTTCCATTCTTTATCGATCCAATGAATTACAATACCGAGAAAATGTTGGTTTGTACACGCTTTCAAAGTATTCAAGACGAATACTAATTTACTTTGATTAGCTTTTATGATATCTTGAACCTTTACTTCTGCTAAATGAAATTTATCGTTTATATTGGTGGAGAACTTTTGTTGATTTGAAATCTCATAATGCAGGTCAAAAGTGGAGATTAATCTTAAAAATAAGTTTGTTTCAAGTACTGAAAATAGATGTTGATTAAGAACAACCCATTGTAACAACTTATGATTCAAAGATTCTACGCGATACCATTCAATAGGTGAGTGGAAGATAGGTTGAATTTTCAAACTTTCTTCAGTGAAGAAAGTGTCAAAGTCATTATCAGATTCGCCCGAATATTCATAAACTTTTTCACACTTTCACTTTTTTTTTGTTGTTTTTTGGAATAATTGGAATTAATAGTAATATCATTAGAAGACTCTGAAGAAGAATCAGTAATCTTTTGCTTCTTTTCAACCTGAATTCTAGGACGATCAGGCTCGATAAGCCTTCCAGGATTTTGAAGAGAGATTTTGAAGCCTTTAGAAGACTCAGAAGAATCAATAATAATGTATAGCATGTTTGACATATTAGACAGTAAGTAGAGTTTGGATTTAGTGCTTGGTGTAAGAGAGAGACGAATTAGTGAATGAGAAAAAAAGTAAATGGCTTTTATAATTATTTACAGGTTTCAAAGACATGAGATTAGATACTATTACAATAATATTGGTAATTGTGAGATTTTAAATGCGTAAACTTTGATTGTATTATTTTGAAAAAAAATATTAGTATCATCAAATCAATCACTGTATTTTATCAAAACTAACTAAATATATTTGATAGATTCATCCCAGGTCTATTCTTTATTAAAATAAGAATTCGAATCATAGAACTTTTATTTATATTACAATTCTTATTTAATTTATTATTACAAGGAAATTTAGAGACATGTTAATTTAATTGTTTTTTTTTTTAAAAAAATTATTTTTAGAACCTACATTTTTGAATATGGCCAGTGTGATTTGTCTTGTCGATATAAATATGGAAAGTATGGATATGCTTTAATAATCTCGATAGTTGCTTTATGTTAATAATGCTAATTGACTCAATTACCTTTTTTAAATTAAGAACTTACATTTTGAATATGACCAATGGTTCCTCTTGTTAATATAAATATGGAAAGTATAGATTCACTTTAATAACCTTGATGGATCTATTAAATTGTATTATATTAATAATGCTAATTAACTTGATTATATTTTCTAAATTAGCTCTAGAATTTACATTTTTGAATACGACCAGTGTGATTCATCTTGATATAAATACAAAAAGTATAGATACGCTTTAAGAATCTCGATAAACTATTAAATTGTATTATGTTAATAATGCTAATTGACTCGATTACCTTTTCTAAATTAGTTTTAGAGTTTACATTTTTGAACCTGACCAGTGTGATTCGTCTTGATATAAATACGGAAAGTATAAATATGCTTTAAGAAATTGTATTACGTTAATAATGCTAATTGACCTGATTACCTTTTCTGAATTAGTTCTAGAGTTTACATTTTTGAATCCGACCAGTGTGATTCATCTTGATATAAATATGGAAAGTATAGATACGCTTTAAGAATCTATTAAATTGTATTATATTAATAATGCTAATTGGCTCAATTACCTTTACTAAATTAGTTCTAGAGTTTATATTTTTGAATACGACAGTATGGTTCATCTTGTTGATATAAATATGGAAAGTATAAATATCCTAATAGAGCAATATTAAAGATATACTTAGAAGTTATTGAAAGTTTATCTGCATTATGTTATAGAAATTTTATTGATATTTTTCGGACTTATACCTTAATGATTAACATTTAGAGAGCTATTAATGCATGTTGATACTTTAAAAATTTTAAGCTCTTATTAGAAGTTATTACTGCACCCTTCCTAATTTATATTTATAGTTAGTTAGCTTTTTTTAATAATCGTGTATTGTAATGTAATCCTAAAAGGCATTTTGTAATAATCTCTAATAAAGTATATAAAAACTTCTAAATTACTAAAAGAAGGTTTTGTATTATGAAGTTGGAATTCTTAGATTCTGAATTAATTAAATAAAAATTTGTCGAGTTATATTTCAACATCGATAAGTAATGAAATAATCCAAAATATAACAATTATTAATAAATTATTATATTGACTCGCACGAGTTTATTCATCAGAAAAAAAAAATTGCAAAATTTTTATTTAATTTAATACATATTTAAAGTTATACAAATTGCAAACTATTATTACATACAGTACTCGAACCCACATTCATTTTGCAATAGAATTGATGCGTAATTAAAAAAAAAATAGCGTCATTATTACCACATATAATGTAAATTATAATATAAATTACTATGTTTAAACGTAATAATAAATATGATGTGCACTGAACGTCAAAGCGAACAATAATTACTAACACCCTAAGTCTAATTGTTATTCTAACCTTTTAGTAAGATAATATTCCATGTATATATTTGTAATTATTTATTTTTTGACTTCCGTAATTCATGATTCTTTAAACTCTATAATTTTGCAAAACTATAAAAGAATATGAATTCATATCAGAGAAAGAGTTTTAATATAAATAAAAAAAAATTTACTTGTGTTCCTCTAATAAAGATCTCAAATTAACTCTAAATAAAGATAATTTTAAATATACCTGATACTAAGTAATGGGATAACTAAATTCACAAAGTTGGCAACTTAGAGAAACTCGAAAGTTTCAAGAAAGCGATCAATGGAAAGCATTTCAGAATATTAAGGATAATCCTCAAATGATGCTTGATTATTTAATTTCAACATTTATACAATTAAATAATGATGAGTTTAGTTCTATAATTGAAGAAATCATTAACTCTCATAAAATAAATATCTGCATTCAAAGAAAATTGCTTGATCACCTAATTCCGACATTCTTTCAACTAAACGATGACGATTTTAGTTTTAGGGTAAAAAAAATCTTTGAATCTCGGGAAATGAACACTTGTATTCAGAGAAAACGCATTGAAATATTTTTACAAGTTTGTAATTTATCTGATCAACAAATATTAGATGCATTAAGTCTTTTTGAAGCTATGACCTATCCTCGAGGAAGTAATAAAGGAGAGATAATTTCTACATATTTACAAAAAAAAGCACGTGAATTTGTTGATGCTAGTTTTTATAAACCTAAAAGCACTATTAACTTATTAGAATTAAAAAATAAAAATTTAAAATATAAAATTCAGGGTTTAAAAAGAAATAAGTTTACCACTAATGCTCTACTTCGCTTATTTTCTATAAAAGTTGCAAGAGCAAAAACGTTAAAACAAAGACAAATCTCAAAAATTCGTCTGCAATACATAAAGCAAACCAAATTTGACCTGCTCAATTTTAGCATGTAGCAAACAAATTATTTAAAATCAATAATAAAGAATATAATACTAAATTTGTTAAATTAGCTGCTGATATAAGTAATATAGGACAAACCTCTATATGTGCAACAGTAGAATGTACTAAAATCATATATCAATTCTTGACCAGAGAGATGCCACAGCATTGGGTAACTCCATCAACTTTATCATGATGGAATAATGAAATAGCAGCTGCATCCTTTATTCAAAATCAGCCTAAAGAAGCTTTTTCTTGATTTTTCGGCTATGGTATTATGGCTGATGAAAGTACACGGGGAGAAATAAAAGTGTTAATTATTTGTTTTTCATACTGGAGTGATGTTAAAAATAAACCAATAATTACTGTAGCAAAATTAACTGATATAACACAATGTAATGCCGAAACGGTTTCATCTATAGTATTTGAAACATGTAAACAAAAAGAAATTGACCCTCGAAAATGTCATTTTTGGCTAACAGATAACATGGCCTAAATGTCCTCTGAGAATAATGGTGCAGTTGCTAAATTCAATTCATTAACAACGTCCAAGTCATTTCGAATTCCTTGCGAATTACATACAACCTATATTGCTTTAATGAATTTTGAAAATACTGCGTTTGGAAAATTGGATACTATTAAAGACTATCATTAAAGGAACATCCATTTAATCTGCTTAACTTGGCTTTTCATTTTCATGATGGATACGATATTTCAGATAAAGATAGCCTATTAAATCTAAAATTTGAAATTTTAAAAAGACTTTATAAGATGTTGTTTAATGTTGAATTAAGTAAATACCAACAGCCTATTCGTCAACGGTGGTTATACAAGCTTAAAACTGCAAAACAATATCTTGAGAGGTGCAAAATTCATATTTGTTTTGCTCAATTCTTTATTGAGCAACTTGAAAATGCAAAAAATGTTCCAAAATTATATTTAAATAAATGGCAAATATTTCTTAAGTGGCTTATGAATAAATGGCTTAATATTCAAATACGGTGTCTTGTTAAGTTTGGTCAGGAATTTTACAAACCTGTTTGCAATTTTCTAAATGGATATGATCCAACTCCACAAATCTACCAGCATAATAATATAAGTACTCTTCTGCCGGGTCATCGTGCTCATGAAATGCTAGATAAAATAATATTATGGATTCATGAGCTTCAAAATTATCTAGAAAATATTTATACATTATTTGGGGATGAATTAGTTGATGCTGAGCACGAGTTAAATGCAGTAGATTTTGAAATATTTTGTGAATCCTTACGTAATGGAATTGAACATGCATTAAACGGGTTTATTAAATGGATAGAGACCTGAATTCATTTACCTTTAAGCATTTGTCGATTGGGAGGGAAAAATGGACCAGACTTTGCTCGCGCCTTTTTAAAAGTATTCTTTAATAAAGATTTGCCAAAAATTTCTACTCCCAAAGAAATCACCTATGTCAAACTTCTGAAAGAAAATTTATCTAACGGGCGTTCAACTATATTTGAACTCTTGGAAGCATTGTCACACTATGATTTTTTTGAAGAGTTTGAAAATTTTGCAAATTCTGATAATGCAGAATTAGCAAAATTTTCTCTAATATATGAATTTATTAAATTTTGTGTATAGAGTATTGTGGTGTATCAGCAACAGTTAGAAGGATTGTTTAATCGTTATGACATAAAAGTCCACCCAAATATGGATCCTCAATTACAAGAATCACGCATCCAACTCTCCATTTCAGACAGTAGAGTTCAAAATATTTCTCAAGAAATGTTGTGAAATATCCGACAAGATGCAATAAATTCCAAAATTAATAAGAAATCAGAAAATACAATTCCTAAAGAAGAAAAAATATATGGAATTCTTAATAGTTTTCTTACCTGGAAGCGCAAAAAATGATGGCAAATTTGGTAAAGAAAATTATTTTATTCGATCAAAACTAATAGCTATAGCTTATTCTATCCGATCGTATTTACAAGAAAAATTTAATTGGTCACTAAAGTAGAAAATTCTAATATTGTTACTGTAAAAATCACTTAAATAAAAATCATCGCTATCGCTATCGTTATCTTTTTGTACAATGTAAAATCTGTCATATGATTTTTTTTGTAAATTAATTTCAACTGCCGATTGAAGATATTTATTATTAGTAAAATAAAATTCTAACGTTGTCACATTATAAAAACACCTTTTATTGAGTATCTTGTTTTTATAGAATTAAAAAATATTAAATATTACAGGAGGAATTAAAAGCGAAGTAAAGTCAATTTTTTCATAGTAATTTAATATAGTGTGCAGATCATAGAATTTATTATATAAAATCTTAATTAGTGATCAAAACTATATAATCTACACTATGTTTGTAATTAGACCGATGATAGACACCCCAAACGTTGATGTTATATGAATGATTTTTCACATGGTGTGCAACATATAAAAAAATAATTTTACAATACCAGATCATTCCGCTAGTACATGTTATGATTATAATCCAACACTATTTTTATTAGTAAAAATGGT